TCACAAACTTCACGCATATATACACCATTATGAGTGATCCTAACATTAACATTGAATACCTTGGGGAGGGGTGGGGGGGGGGCTTTTTCACAGACCAGTCCTCTCATCATAAAACTTTCCTCTGCCCCTGAAAAACACACCAAAAAATAAATCCAGACGTCAAAATCCAGGACAACACCAAAACAATCAGAAAACAAAATAAAAACAATAAAAACATAACAATACTAAACAGATACACACAGGAACCCAGAAACAATGCAGCAAAAGCAGACAAACAAAGAAAACCAAGAAAAACGACAGTCAATAACAATGAGAATCACAAAGTCTCTCATGAGTCGAACTCAAAGCCCCAAAGACAGAACGTGTCTCTAAGAAAAATATAAGAAAAGCCTTCAATGACAGCAGATACGATAAATAATTGTTTTAGTTTAGTTTTACTAAGAGCTGTACTGCAGTTTTAGCACATACTCATAGATCATTATACGTGCCGTGGATTAGAGATGTTACAAGAGGGTAGCACAAAAAAAGGAGCAGAGATCAGGACGATAGATGGTTGGTTGGAAAGAAGAAACAAACCATACCACAGCATCTGCCAACCACCTACACATTTTGAAATCCAATATGGCGAACATAAAGAGAGAATTCCGTGTGCCAAATCGCACAACATGTTTGCTATATTACCTCACTATATTAAATTCTTGGAACGAGTCAAATTTCGAAGTTATAGCCTGCAACTCAGCTATTCAGTGAGTACAGGCTAGGACTACACCATGACTTTGAGATAAAAAGATGACCAATTGGAGGAGGAGGAGACCGCCCGTTATTCCACGGCCCAGCGCCGTGTAGATTAGCCATAATGGCCAAACTGAGACACAACCAGAGGCAACGTGACCCAACGGGAAAACGTGCCGGGAACCTCGGAGACTTTATAAGTTCAACTCTCAGGGGAAAATAAAAAAACAAAGATTTGGACAAAGGGAAGAATCAGGAAACATGATCACCTCGTGAAAAGACACCCAACTGTGATCTTCTTTGGCGGTGTTCCTAACTTAATTTGCCCGTTGTCTTCAACTCGTAATGTTCGGTAATTAAACTGTTATATAATGCCACGACAGTGCGGTAGTGGTCTTGTAAAAAGTTTCTCGCCTCAAACATAATCAACAGTTCTTAGTACTCAGTCTCCTTGCGAATAAAATTAATGTTTGCTCTCTCTCTCTCTCTCTCTCTCTCTCTCTCTCTCTCTCTCTCTCTCTCTCTCTCTCTCTCTCTCTCTCACAAA